ATTATGTTGGAAAATATGATCAACGTTTTGACAGTATGTAGACATAGTCAATAAATACAGCTTAGTTACCATTATCTTTCAGGCGATTGATGGGCATTCTGTCGTCCTCATATTTAAAAGATTTTCAAAGAGGTGTGTTTCAGCAAAGGCATGCATTACTCAAAAGTAGTTGGAATTTATAAATAGTCTTTGCACACATGGAATTAATAAATATTTTTCCGTTAAAATCAACCTTGAAAACTGAAGTCTGTTCCTTATATCGTTTGGAAATCTGAAATATAAGTATTTAAAATAGAATATATAAATATTTAAATAAATTATACAGAATATATTAAAATAACCATAACCAGATTTCCGCCACGAATGAGCGTTTCAGAACTGCAAACTATGCAGACATAACTATTCATAAGACAGTTAAAGCCACGTAAATCTGCTCTTTGTTCTTAAACAATCAGACATATGCAATTTATAAAATATACTGACTTATGTGTCTAGTGCACCTCCCTCTCTAGGTTTTGACATTTCTTTTGGTCAGTTTGGAATTTCCTCACTCGCCTCCTAGGTTTAAAAGCTTGAACGAAACAGCTGTATGGGGATGTTTAATCCATTGTTTAGCTTTACTGTATCTTACACTAAATTTGTATTAAAAGGTACGCTTTATTTGTTTAATAATTACCTTCAATGATTCTCATCTTGGTGTCTTCCTCAGTAGCAATCTTATAAAACAGTCTCATCTAACGTAACTGCTTTAAAACAAATGAAATATTGTTACAAGTTAGCAAAGACACTCTTGTTATTAATAACTGAGTGCTATGATATGTTTGAAATTGTATCATGACGTGTTATCTGTATTCATTGTGGAATGTAATGTTAGGAGAGGCACAATAAGTTACAAGAACACAATCCCTTTGATATAATGTCCAAAAAAAAATGTTGGAATGAATTGGAAAATGAATAATTAATCCAAATTTGAAAAGTGACTGATTTTGAACTTCCTAGTCTCTTTCATCCAGACTTTTGTTGTCTGCACACACAATGTCATCATCTTAAACTACGAAGTGATCAAAGAGGCTGGGTGAAAGAGACTAGTGTATTCCCCTTAATTTGCTTTTTTACGAACACTCTATTGTAACATCTCATGTAGAACTGCACCTATCAAAGATGGTGGAATAACAGATTTGTGAAATTAAGTGAGACTTGGAGTTCGATTGAGATTCTGTCTACATATCCATTGGTACAAAGTGATCACAGTCCTATCCATTCGGTTTATCACCGTAATAAGGCCAACTTACCATCGTGTTCTGCCCAATCATTCAAGCCTTGGACTATTAATATTCATGAATATGCTTACACATCTCATGTGTGTCCTCTCTCAACAGAGAGAAGAATTCCAGTCTCAGTTCAGCTTAAGTTTCATTTCGATAGTCATGATCGGAGTACATAAACACAAGAGATCGGGACTTGTTGACATTTATGTGCATTAAAGGGGGTCCTTAACTACGACAAACAGATACAAAAGCAAGTTGGAGTGGCGGTATCGATATTTACATCAGGTCATAAAACTGAATCCAGAGAGTATTTGTGAAAGCCAAACCGATATCAACGTAGTTTGTTTTGTAAAAGCCCTAGTTATCCATCCCTCTGTCCACACCAGTTCTGCTTGTTAAAGTGTTTCACTTATCCGACAAGCGTCTATGTAACGAAGGCTCCGTTGCCTTCTCTGGTTTGTATTATTTGGTTACCACACACGACAGAACAACATCAGCTTTTTCTCCGTAATGTTGTAAAAATCAATAGCAAATCAGTGGTTCATTGATGAAACGTCATGAAATATTCAAAGGTTTAAGGAAGTAATGCAGGTATGTACCATGATGGTCCTGGACTGCAACGGATTGTGATGTAAGGAACGTCTCTGCCAGCAACGGATTGTGATGTAAGGAGTCTCTCTGCCAGCAACGATACGTTTGTTTGTTGCGCCAGTATGTTTACTCTAATGAATATAATTTTTGTTGCCTTTCTCAAAGAATATTTTTCAGCTACCTTACATAACAGATTCTGAGTTTCTGATTAAACTTCACCAAAAGTAAACATCACTTTTATGCCGCTCCTGCCAAATGTTTGCTTAGTCTAGATCGGTGTTCTAATACATTGTTGTGTTACAGTTTCAACCAAACTAGTCGCTCTCGCTTAAGCGGTTGAAACGGTTGAACTGACTGAAACTACTGTAAAATAACGGCACATATCCTGAAAGAGGCTAAACTGCAAAGTATTTTGTATCTTTCTAACACTTATCACCTAAACACACCTGAACCATGAGTGTTTACCCTACACTCATCTTCACCTAAATACACCTGAATCCTGAGAGTATATCCCACACTTATCTTTACCTAAATACACCTGAACTCTGACTGTATATCCTACACTTATCTTTACCTAAATACACCTGAACCCTGACTGTATATCTCACACGTATCTTTACCTAAATACACCTGAACCCTGACTGTATATTTCACACTTATCTTCACCTAAATACACCTGAACCCTGACTGTATATCTACATTGATCTTTACCTAAATACACCTGAACCCTGAATGTACATCCCACACTTATCTTTACCTAAATACACCTGAACCCTGACTGTATATTTCACACTTATCTTCACCTAAATACACCTGAACCCTGACTGTATATCTACATTGATCTTTACCTAAATACACCTGAACCCTGAATGTACATCCCACACTTATCTTTACCTAAATACACCTGAACCCTGACTGTATATCCCACACTTATCTTTACCTAAATACACCTGAACCCTGACTGTATATCCTACACTTATCTTTACCTAAATACACCTGATCCCCGAGTGTATATCTCACATTAATCTTTACCTAAATACACCTGAACCCTGACCGTATATCTCACACTTATCTTTACCTAAATACACCTGAACCCTCACTGTATATCTACATTGATCTTTACCTAAATACACCTGAACCCTGACTGTATATCCCACACTTATCTTTACCTAAATACACCTGAACCTTGACTGTATATCTCACACTTATCTTTACCTAAATACACCTGAACCCTCACTGTATATCTCACACTTATCTTTACCTAAATACACCTGAACCCTGACTGTATATCTCACACTTATCTTTACCTAAATACACCTGAACCCTGACTGTATATCTCACACTTATCTTTACCTAAATACACCTGAACCCTGACTGTATATCCCATACTTATCTTTACCTTAATACATATCCTTTTTGTTGAACATAAGTTTCATTCTCCCAGCCACATTTTTCAAAACTTATAGGATGTGGTGATGACAGGCAGTCATGTTCAGTGCCCGGTGTATCTCCCTGGGGGTACATCACGGTATCACTTGATGATGGCAATTCTTGTCACTTAATTGGTATGTGAGACGCATTCGTCATATACGGAGTATTCATACTTATATTCGTTTATTTTTTCTTGATTTTATAATTTAATTGATATACTTTGCATCTTTTTGTCATTTAATTTAATTAAACGTTACTGTATTTTGGCCAAGCAATATTTAATAGATCCGTGTCATTGCATTTGCTCACGTGGTCTTTGGGCAAAAGCTAACATACGAAACATGCATACGAAAAAATAGCTCACATAGCCTTCGGTTAGGTGATCTTTAAACAAAATCACTACAGCACACATATTTAGAATGGCGGTGAGTGCAAAAGTGAGTTCATCTAATGACTGTGCAATGTAAATTGGAACGGTGTCATTTGGAAACAGAATTATGGGTATTAATTACATTTCCAAATATCACAACAAATTAAAAATTGAATATAAGAATATATGGTTTATACTAAATATACTAAGATAAAGAAAAAACTATCGTACTATAAAATCTTTGTCAGTTTGTAATGTATGTCATGTTTCACCCGACAGTTTACAATCCACTGTGACCGACGGGCGGCGCAGTGGTAACGCACTCGCGTATCACCTAGGTGATGGGGTTACCTGCCCGACCATGAGGTTTGTTCCCGGGTACTCAGATTTCCTCATACAGTATGAACACTCGTGCGTTTTTACTTTGGACCATTAAAAGTGTTTGCTATAAGCTTATAGGCTGTTTTGCAGCTGTTCTAATGTAATTCCAACATGTGATATTAACATGTCAGCTGGTATCATAAAAATCAATGCAAATGTCAATGATTACCTTGGTGATATTACTGCATTGTCACTTTATTCAGTTTAAAAAATATCCATGGCCGAAAGATAGACAAGGAATTAGGCACGTGGAGTTATTGCAACGTATCAACGCCTTTTCTCAGCATACATTTGAAAAGTCATTGCACTATTGACAATACAAATTTACAATACTGAAATTATATAGTTATTGTTACAATTTGACATCAAAATATAACTAATATAGTTTGCACAGATCTAATAATGTTGGGATTGAGGTTCAAGGAAAATTGAGAATCGCCAAACAAAAGAATTCCTACATCTAACACAACCGGTCTAATTTTCTCAATTTTGAACTAAAATACGTCTTTTGATTGAGAACGTTGTCATTCAATAAAATATTGAAAGACATTCTCACGAGGATGACTAAAACTACAAGATATATTCTCAACTCTAAAAAGGTCATACTTAAGGGGACTGCATTGGTGTCTGAGTTTAGTATGCAATATATCAAATTTGTCACTTTATTGTAGTGATATCATTATATTGACTGAATAATATTAGCACTTCAAATAATTATACATTGAATATCACTAAACAGTAAACATCATATGTTTACTACAGATGGCACCCCTTTAGTATGCGTTATAAGACTGAAGTTTCCACAAACAGCCCGGACGTTCGTGCTGATTAATAACCTCCGAAGTAAATATGTGGTCTAACTGGTTACACACCTGTCCACACAGTGCTTAATAAGATCCGAGGGCCTTCCGAACTGCGTGTATTTTTTATACGTGTGTGTGCAAGTTCGAAGACACGGGAACTGGTACAAAGGTATGGTGTTTTTTTCTCCTTATACATAGTGTATATGTAGCAACAGACAATGACATGTTACAAGACAATAAGCTTGTAATTAACCAAAGTCATTGTTTCCAGTGGTCGCGTCAGTCGAATGTCGCCATGTTCCAGTCGAGTAGCCTAAACAGGAACGGTGGTTAGCCATAGGCTTATACAATAATGAATTTCTTGTAGAACTGAATGTAAATGTGATCGAATTTGTACACTTATAGAGAAGATAATTGATTTATTGTACATATACCATATATATAAAATTCAGTTGTATTCATTTCATGATAAAGACACGACATTGGTGTGAAGTATGTGCTATAACTGGCGTAGTCAAGCCAGTGTGACCAACGCGGTTCGTTGGTGTTTATGACACGTGGTGGATATTGATCTTTTAAATGTAAGCTGATAACAAGGGCTTCAAAGCAGTCCCATTGGAACATTGGCTCATTCCCCGAACACCAACTCTGCCAACTTGAAAGGAAGGTGTTTATATAGGGAATCGTTTGGAGCTTACGTTACAGTCTGTTTCAACTAAGAATGTCAACTTATTTCGTAAATTTAGGATACGTACATATCATTAATGAAATTTTTTTTTTTTTATATTTATTTTATTTTTGCATTTTTTCATTGTATGTACACAAAGAAGTTCACACACACACGCCCTTACATACATACATACATATGTCCAACATGTATCATCATACACATTATCATCACATACATCATCATTAAACATGTATCATCATACACATCATCATCATACACATCATCATTAAACATGTACCATCATACACATCATCATTAAACATATATTCTCATACACATCATCATCATACACATCATCATTAACATGTATCGTCATACACATCATCATTAAACATGTATTATCATACACATCGTCACCATACACATCACCATTAACATGTATCATCATACATATCATGTATGTATTATTATACACATCATCCTCATACACATCATCATTAAACATGTATTATCATACACATCATCATTAAACATGTATTATCATACACATCATCACTTACATGTATTATCATACACATCATCCTAATACACATATATATCATCATTAGCATGCATCATCATACACATCATCACTAACATGCATCATCATCATCATCATCATCATCATCTACGGATTTGTCAAATTGTGAGTGTTCATCATATATCTAATGTACAGCATAAATAATCAACTTTTTTTATATTTATTTTATTTTTTGCATTTTTTCATTGTATGTACACAAAGAAGTTCACACACACACGCCCTTACATACATACATACATACATACATACATACATATAAGAAAAAAGGAGAGAAGAGACAGATTATGATAGAAAATGGTTAGATAGAGGAGAGAAAGAAGGCAGATGGCTAGAGAGAGGAAGAGAGAAAGAAAGCAGATAGGGAAGGAAACAGGAAGGAATTCAAGACTTAAATAAAACTATATAAAGCAGATGGTGATTTTAAATAATTTACCAAACTGAAAATTTGTTGGTACAGATGATGGCCATTGTCAGGGACTGGTAACCATATCAGGTTTATTGATTCATATTCAAAATTAAGTATTGAGTATCTTAATTATGTTTGAGTAAAAAAATCATATATCGATATAGTAACAGAGTAGTAGTAATATTAGTCGTTCATGATTTTTATAAATTTCTCCCATTTTTTCCACCCTAGTGCAAATTTGTCTTTAACCCTTTCCCATTTAGTATACGCGATATATTTTTGAACCTTATAATAATCATGGATGGCACAGGTTAGAGCATTAATGCTGAGGGACTTATGTAAACATCTAGTTCTGTAAATATATTGTTTTATGAGTAAAATAATTTGGTTATCAACACTATATATTAGGTTGGTCCCATTATCTATCTTGCCAAAAAGTATTGTTTGTTTGTTAACAGTAAAAGGAATATATAAAGCATCTAGTAATCTATCTAGACTTTGCAAAAGATTCTGGACTTCATCACATTCCCAAAACAGGTGTACAATTGTTTCTGTCTCAGCATTACAGAGAGTACATAAAGGACTATCTAATATCCTTACTTTAAAAAGAAATGAGTTTGTAGTTAAGATGTTGTGGGAAATTCTAAACTGTAGCCATTGAAATTTGGAGCTTTTAGTGACTTGAAAAGGTAATGTATATATAGCTAGCCAGTCATCATTTGTGAAATCAAAATGTTCCCCCCACTTTTCCCTTCCCTTGGACACAAGTGATTTAATATTGTTAAGTATTCCATAAAATCTCTTTGAACCTTTATTGATATCTAAAAAAATAGATATGTGGATTGGTAGAGTAGGACGTATAAATTTATACTCAACAATATTATAATTCTGCAAGCTTTTCCTTATTGCTGAAATTATTGCATAATATTTCAAAAAATCAGTGTTTATGTTAAATTTCTGAATAAATTCCTCATATGAAAACAAAGTGTTATTACTAAAATCCTTAACAAAATCACCAATTAGATAAACACCTTTTTCATACCAGTGTGGGTAGAAGATTGTTTTACCTCCAATGGTAATATTACAATTATACCATACAGGTGTTAGCAAGAGTGATTTCCCTTTGATTGTTTTCATATTTTCTGAATTTTCTAATCTCCCCCAAGCTTTTAATACATCTTTCCAAAACAAATTATCACATATATCTGTACTTACCTGAATAAAAGTGCCTCCAATATCTAAAAGCCTATTAATGTTTACGGATTTTATCAGAATACATTTCCATTTTCCAGAAGACTGATATAACCGTTTGATCCAACTCAATTTCAATGAATCGATAAAATTAGCAACATGCAGCATTTTTAACCCACCAACTGTATAATCCTGAACTATAGTTTCTCTTTTAACTTTATCAACTTTACTGTGCCATAGAAATTCAAATAATATAGAGTTAATTGTCTGGATTGTTTTACCATCTGGATTGGGCAGGGAAATAAATAAATGATTAAACTGTGAAATCATCAAAGATTTAATTAAGTGGATTTTTCCTATGGGAGTTAAATTGCGTCTACTCCAAGTATTTATAAGGCTTTTTAGTTTTACTATTTTCATATCAAAGTTCATTCTGACCATTTCATGGAGATTAACACTGAAATCAATACCCAATAAACAAAATGTTTCTTTTCCCCATTGTAAGTCTAATTCTGGTAAAAATTTATCTTGACTGTGTTTCTTGCTACCGATCCAAATGACTTCTGTTTTATCGGTATTCATTTTTAAGCCTGAGATATCTGCAAATGTTTGTAATTCACTTATTGATTCTCTTAGGGAGTGTTCCGTACCATCTAAAGTCAAATAAGTATCATCTGCATACTGAGAAACTAGAATGTCTGTATCATCAACTTGGATGCCATGTATATTTTTATTGTTTCTGAATCTAATTGCAAGAATTTCTGCACAGAGAATAAAGATGTATGGTGCTACCGGATCACCCTGACGACAGCCTCTTTTAATAGAAAAGAATGATGACAGATTACCCCCTTGATTTACTGAAGCCCCTACATTTCTATGAAAAAGTTTTATCCAGTTACGTATACTATTTCCAAAGCCAAAATAAATCAATACCTTTTCTATGAATTTCCAGGACACTGAGTCAAATGCCTTTTCAAAATCTACCATAAGAATCATACCAGGGATGTCATTATCTTCTGTGAATTTCATAACATCATATAGTAGCCTAGTGTTTTCACCAATGTATCGACCCGCTAAAAACCCCGTCTGATCCTTATTTATGAGTTTATCAAGTACAGATTTTATCCTTTTTGCAATTACCCCTGAAGCTATTTTATATACAATGTTCAATAGAGTTATTGGTCTCCAGTTTTTAATAAAATGGCGTGGCTTACCTTTCTTTGGAATGCAAGTAATAATCCCATAACGTTGTGTGATTGATAATTCCCCTGTAATGTATCCATAGTTTAAAGACCTAACAATAAAAAGACCAAGTTGTTTCCAGAAAAACTTGAAAAATTCAGCCGTATAACCATCTGAACCAGGACTTTTGTTATTTTTCATATTTTTTAGAATATTATATGCTTCTTTAATAGTTACTAATCCTTCTAAATTTCTAGACTCAGCTTCATTAAGTTTTGGAATGTTTTCAAAATCAAGAAAAGTTTCGAGAGTTATATCATCTAAATTATTATTTGAGTCATAGTTTTTCATAAAAATACCTTATTTCATTCAAAATATCTTCTTGTTTTGTTACAAAACTACCATTACTAAGCTGTACTTTAGGGATAATTTTAGAAGTGAAATTTCTATTTTCTAGATTAAAAAAGTAACTAGTTGGCTTTTCTCCTTCCTCTTCCCATTTAGCTCTTGATCTCACTATACTTCCCTTAATTTTTTTAACTCTAATTTCCTCCAGTTCCCTCTTCTTTCTATCTATTTCTGCTACATCAATAATCTCTTCTTTTTCCAATGCCTCAATAGACTTATTAAGCTCATTTTCCTGTATATTTTGTAATTTCTTTTTGTAAGCAGCATACAATATAGTTTTACCTCTAATATTCATCAACAAAGTTTCAAGAAATAACTGATCATTGATTTTCAATTGTAATTCATCATCCGCAATAAGATCAAGATTTTCCAAATTGTAAACAGGAAGACAGTATTGCACTTTTGTTTCATTAATTACATTTTTAACAACGTCTATATATTCTGTATCATATAAAAGAGAGTTATTAAATTTCCATAATCCTTTACCTTTTTTAAATTCCTGAAGTTTAACTGTAAGTTTCGGAAAAGAGTGATCAGAAAGATAACCTGCCTCTATAGATGGCCCTTTCACACTACCTAATAAATTTTCTGAAATTAAAAAGAAATCTAATCTTGACTGTTTCAATGGATTTTTTTCCCTCCAAGTATACCTTTGGTAATCAGGGTAATACTCTCTAAAAATATCAATTAGATTGTAATTTTTAATAATATCTAAAACTTTATCTCTAGCTT